TTTTGTTAAAAAAAAGTTTTGAAAATTTTTACTTTAAGAGAACTTGTTTTTAACCAATTTTAGTAGAAAATAAATATTTACAAAAAAGCTTTTTGTTATGAAAACTTGTGTTCAAATATTTGTTCCAATTTTCTAATAAAATTTATAATTTATTTTCATTTAGTTTAAAGTTTTTTATCTTTATTTATTTTCTAAAATAAAATAGATTTTTTATCTAAAATAAATGTAAACAAAGCACAATGGGACTATTTAAGAACAACTTTTATTATTTGATTTCACATGCCGATTTTCATAAAACATTTGATTAATGTCTATTTTAACTAAATTACTATTTTAAAAAATTAGCATTCAATAAACTAAACTTTCTATAAAAACACACTCATTGCTACAACTACGTCACGAACTGTCAAGATGTTTTAACATCATGATGAATTAATTTAATTTATTTTCATTCTATTAGAAAATTATGTTAATTAAGTTGAAACTAAAATAAAAAAAAAACAAAAGACTTGTGAAATAAAAAGCAATAAATAAACTACAAATGCAAACTAATAAATTGTGTGAATTATTTAAAACAAACTCAAAATCATTTCAATAAACTGGTAGTAAAATATTTTTTTTCAAATCAGATTTTGCAACAAAAAAAAAACTAGAATTGACGTCAAATATCAACTTGTCAGTTTAGCTCTATAATAATTTGTACAGTATTGGACTGTGTCATAATAGAAATTTCAAATTTGATTATTTTTTTCATACAAAAAACTTTTTTTCATCACCAGCTGTAAAACTAAATTGGTTTCATTCCCTTTAACCTGTTCTAGTATTCTTCTTGTAGTTTTTTATTAATTTGTTTATAACAATTATCATTTCAGATCTTTATATATTATATATTCTATGCCAGACATATTGTTACTTTTTTTGTTGTATTTTTTATTAATGTTTATCATTTTGTTGTTGTTGTTTTTATTATTTTGTAGGAGTTTATTTTGGTTCATTCCTAATCTGCTGTATAATCGTTACTAAATAGTTGTTTTTTGCTGTTTTTATAGATTTATTGGTTTTTTATTTGATTTATTATAGATATTCCTAATCAGCTTCCTGTTATGATAATCGTGTAAAGGTAAAATAGCACAAACCCCTATTAGGTAAATGTTTCGAAGTGCGTCAATAGAGCCTAAATAAAACAGAAAGTTGGCAACACGTAACAAATCAAAAAAAAAAAATAACAAATAAACCATATAGTCTCTACACTATAATGTACTAGTTTAAAGATGAATATTCAATGGGCTAATCTTCAGACTTGGCTATAGTCTCGTTTATAGACTAGAATATTATCTATAGCCTACACTATAGTCTAGTCTATAGGCCAAACTATAGTCAGGTATTTGACAAGTCTGTAGTCTATTCATTAGTTCAGTCCTAGTTCAGTTCTAGTTCAGTTCTAGTTCAGTTCTAGTTCAGTTCTAGTTCAGTTCTAGTTCAGTTCTAGTTCAGTTCTAGTTCAGTAGTTCAGTAGTTCAGTTCTAGTTCAGTTCTAGTTCAGTTCTAGTTCAGTTCTAGTTCAGTTTCTAGTTCAGTTCTAGTTCAGTTCTAGTTCTAGTTCAGTTCTAGTTCAGTTCGAGTTCAGTTCTAGTTCAGTTATAGTTCAGTCTAGTTCAGTTCTAGTTCAGTTCTAGTTCAGTTCTAGTTCAGTTCTAGTTCAGTTCTAGTTCAGTTCTAGTTCAGTTCTAGTTCAGTTCTAGTTCAGTTCTAGTTCAGTTCTATTCAGTTCTAGTTCAGTTCTAATTCAGTTCTAGTTCAGTTCTAGTTCAGTTCTAGTTCAGTTCTAGTTCAGTTCTAGTTCAGTTCTAGTTCAGTTCTAGTTCAGTTCTAGTTCAGTTCTAGTTCAGTTCTAGTTCAGTTCTAGTTCAGTTCTAGTTCAGTTCTAGTTCAGTTCTAGTTCAGTTCTAGTTCAGTTCTAGTTCAGTTTTTAGTTCAGTTCTAGTTCAGTTCTAGTTCAGTTCTAGTTCAGTTCTAGTTCAGTTCTAGTTCAGTTCTAGTTCAGTTCTAGTTCAGTTCTAGTTCAGTTCTAGTTCAGTTCTAGTGTTCTAGTTCAGTTCTAGTTCTAGTTCAGTTCTAGTTCAGTTCTAGTTCAGTTTCTAGTTCAGTTCTAGTTCAGTTCTAGTTCAGTTCTAGTTCAGTTCTAGTTCAGTTCTAGTTCAGTTCTAGTTCATTATAGTTCAGTTCTAGTTCAGTTCTAGTTCAGTTCTAGTTCAGTTCTAGTTCAGTTCTAGTTCAGTTCTAGTTCATTAGTTCAGTTCTAGTTCAGTTCTAGTTCAGTTCTAGTTCAGTTCTAGTTCAGTTCTAGTTCAGTTCTAGTTCAGTTCTAGTTCAGTTTCTAGTTCAGTTCTAGTTCAGTTCTAGTTCAGTTCTAGTTCAGTTCTAGTTCAGTTCTAGTTCAGTTCTAGTTCAGTTCTAGTTCAGTTCTAGTTCAGTTCTAGTTCAGTTCTAGTTCAGTTCTAGTTCGTTCTAGTTCAGTTCTAGTTCAGTTCTAGTTCAGTTCTAGTTCAGTTCTAGTTCAGTTCTAGTTCAGTTCTAGTTCAGTTCTAGTTCAGTTCTAGTTCAGTTCTAGTTCAGTTCTAGTTCAGTTCTAGTTCAGTTCTAGTTCAGTTCTAGTTCAGTTCTAGTTCAGTCTAGTCAGTTCTAGTTCAGTTCTAGTTCTAGTTCAGTAGTTTTCAGTTCTAGTTTAGTTCTAGTTCAGTTCTAGTTCAGTTCTAGTTCAGTTCTAGTTCCAGTCTAGTTTCAGTTCTAGTTCAGTCTAGTTCAGTTTCTAGTTCAGTTCTAGTTCAGTTCTAGTTCAGTTCTAGTTCAGTTCGAGTTTCAGTTCTAGTTCAGTTCTAGTTCCAGTTCTAGTTCAGTTCTAGTTCAGTTCTAGTTCAGTTCTAGTTCAGTTCTAGTCAGTTCTAGTTCAGTTCTAGTTCAGTTCTAGTTAAGTCTAGTTCAGTTCTAGTTCAGTTCTAGTTCAGTTCTAGTTCAGTTCTAGTTCAGTTCTATGGTTCAGTTCTAGTTCAGTTCTAGTTCAGTTCTAGTTCAGTCTAGTTCAGTCTAGTTCAGTTCTAGTTCAGTTCTAGTTCAGTTTCTCGAGTTCAGTTCTAGTTCAGTTCTAGTTCAGTTCCTAGTTCAGTTCTAGTTCAGTTCTAGTTCAGTTCTAGTTCAGTTCTAGTTCAGTTCTAGTTCAGTTCTAGTCAGTTCTCGTTCAGTAGTTCAGTTCTAGTTCAGTTCTAGTTCAGTTCTAGTTCAGTTCTAGTTCAGTTCTAGTTCAGTTCTAGTTCAGTTCTAGTCGTTCAGTTCTAGTTCAGTTCTAGTTCAGTTCTAGTTCAGTTCTAGTTCAGTTCTAGTTCAGTTCTAGTTCAGTTCTAGTTCAGTTCTAGTTCAGTTCTAGTTCAGTTCTAGTTCAGTTCTAGTTCAGTTCTAGTTCAGTTCTAGTTCAGTTCTAGTTCAGTTCTAGTTCAGTTCTAGTTCAGTTCTAGTTCAGTTCTAGTTCAGTTCTAGTTCAGTTCTAGTTCAGTTCTAGTTCAGTTCTAGTTCAGTTCTAGTTCAGTTCTAGTTCAGTTCTAGTTCAGTTCTAGTTCAGTTCTAGTTCAGTTCTAGTTCAGTTCTAGTTCAGTTCTAGTTCAGTTCTAGTTCAGTTCTAGTTCAGTTCTAGTTCAGTTCTAGTTCAGTTCTAGTTCAGTTCTAGTTCAGTTCTAGTTCAGTTCTAGTTCAGTTCTAGTTCAGTTCTAGTTCAGTCTAGTTCAGTTCTAGTTCAGTTCTAGTTCAGTTCTAGTCAGTTCTAGTTCAGTTCTAGTTCAGTTCTAGTTCAGTTCTAGTTCAGTTCTAGTTCAGTTCTAGTCAGTTCTAGTTCAGTTCTAGTTCAGTTTCTAGTTCAGTTCTAGTTCTAGTCAGTTCTAGTTCAGTTCTAGTTCAGTTCTAGTTCAGTTCTAGTTCAGTTCTAGTTCAGTTCTAGTTCAGTTCTAGTTCAGTTTCTAGTTCAGTTCTAGTTCAGTTCTAGTTCAGTTCTAGTTCAGTTTCTAGTTCAGTTCTAGTTCAGTTCTAGTTCAGTTCTAGTTCAGTTCTAGTTTCAGTTCTAGTTCAGTTCTAGTTCAGTTCTAGTTCAGTTCTAGTTCAGATTCTAGTTCAGTTCTAGTTCAGTTCTAGTTCAGTTTCTAGTTCAGTTCTAGTTCAGTTCTAGTTCAGTTCTAGTTCAGTTCTAGTTCAGTTCTAGTTCAGTTCTAGTTCAGTTCTAGTTCAGTTCTAGTTCAGTTCTAGTTCAGTTCTAGTTCAGTTCTAGTTCAGTTCTAGTTCAGTTCTAGTTTCAGTTCTAGTTCAGTTCTAGTTAAGTTCTAGTCAGTTCTAGTTCAGTTCTAGTTCAGTTCTGTAGTTCTAGTTCAGTTCTAGTTCAGTTCTAGTTCAGTTCTAGTTCAGTTCTCGTTCAGTTCTAGTTCAGTTCTAGTTCAGTTCTAGTTAAGTTCTAGTTCAGTTCTAGTTCAGTTCTATTCAGTTCTAGTTCATCTTTTAAGTCGATTCCAAACAAATGTATACATTAATGTAAACAAACCCCGTCGACCACGTGAGTCTAACAACCCCTGCCACTAGCAAAGCTATCAATCCAATATTTACAAACTTTTTTAGGGGAAATCAACACTCAGTCAAACAAGCAAAGCTAACAAACCATTATGTTTAAACATGTTTGTTTTTAAAGAAAAAATTGCAAATATTAAAGAAGTTTTTCGCCAAACTTGGTTTCAAATACTTTTTATTTTATACAAAAACTAATAAAAGTTTTAAAATAAAATTGTTTTAAATAATTTTCTGTTGTTTTTACTACAAAACTATTTAATACTTTTCGGGAAATTAAATAATTTTAAATTGTTTGTATTAACATTTTAAAAAAGTAATAATAATAATGAAAACTTATTAACTAAAGCAATAAAAATTCAATAAACTTATAAACTAAAGTTTATAAACATTAAGAGATTTAGTTTTTTTTTCTTAAAATTTCTTAGAAACTACTGACTAGCTTTGGTTTGTGAAAAATTTTATACAATATTTGTAGGATCTACAGTTAAAAGGTTCGCCGACATACCTACCTTTTTGGAACGTTTGCTGGTTAAATGCTGATTAGCTAACATATCGGTGATGTCTTGACAATCTTCGGGCTGCTCGGGTATACAGAAATTGGCATCCTCATCACCGCTTACCGAACAGGTGGAACAGTCTGAGGTTTTGCGTTCCAATTGTTGACGCACACCATTAACTAAACATTCGGCTCCATCGAGAGCCGAAATGGTGGAGCCACAGTAGTAGAGGTTGCTGCACGAGGAAGAGGCTGAGATGTCAGAGTTATTGTCGAGCGCATCTTTTTCGGTGCCGGAGGTTTCCAAAGAGGAACGACGTCGCCGCAAACGTTGGGCACGAAAATACTCGATTTCCTCTAGGGTTATGCCGCAAGTAATATCATCTGAATAGTCGGAGACCACCACAGAGGGAGTGCGTACAAAACGTACACCCTGCATTTCACCGGGAAGATAATCACTGAAACAGGACTGGGAGGACTCACGTCTGGAACTAAAACCCGAACCGGGAACTTCGGGTATTTCCACCACTCTTTCTTCTAGCAATACTTTAGTAGGTATTTGGTTTTGGTTTAAATTTTGAGCAACACTGGGCACAGGAGTATCCATTATAGGAGAATCGGGCAGTAAAGTGGGTTCGGCTAAAGGCAGCAGAGCAGGTCTTAAAGGCAAATCGGTAACCGTTAAAGTCATTCTTCTTTTCTGCTGATTAGGTTGCGGAGCCTCAGATACATCCATGGGTTCATCTACCTCCAAACCCAAAGCCGAATCACTGCTAGCAGATCTGGCCACTTTATCCTTATGCTTAGTGGCTGGTATTCTTTCTATAGCCGTGTTGGTAGTGCGTATGGAGTCATTGTCATCATCGGAAGAGTAAGGGCTATGGCCTATATTACAGCCTTCATCCGAGAGAGGACTGTGTCTTTCTACCATGGCCTCCGATTTGTTGTGGGCTTTAGCCTCTGCTTGCGTTTTAGTTTGTGGCAAAATCATGTTGGCTTTAAAATCGAAACGCTTGGCTAATTCTTTAACTCTAGGAAATTGCAATTTTTGTGAAAAATTTTTAACGTTTGCACTTTTTAATTCCTTGGGCGTTTGCTGCTGTTGTTGTTTCTTTTGTAAATCCAATTTTCTTAAGGCCACTAAGGAGGTTTGTTTTAAATCCACTGACGACTCTTTGTAGCTATTACAGTCCCTGGGTATTTTCAATTTTAAATTATGCTGTTTTTTCAAAATTCTTTTATTCAAAGTTTGCACGTTATTTAACGTTTTTAATTTCACTGTTTGCGTGTTTAAATCTTTAAAGAATTCTTTTTTCAATTGAGCTTTACGTTCTGATAAACTTTTAAATTTCAGCTCTTCTCCACAGTTTTCTACATTTGCGTTTGCCGTATAATAATCCTTTTGTGTTTGTTGATCGCTGGTCTTTTTATATTCCAGTAGTTCACATTGAAAATTGTATTCTCTAGCTTTAAATGCGTCTAGATCTACAGTTCTTTGATAACTGTCGTCTAAAGGTTTGTTTATTATGTTTTTATGCCTCAGACGTTGACTGAAATTTTGTAATAACAATGGCTGTTGTACCGTTACTAGTAAATTCTCTCCCTTAACCTCTTCTCTCGCTTCCAGCTCTTTAGATTGTTCAGTAACAAGTGCTAGTGCTTCGTTAACTAATGATAAACTCTCTCTGTTAACTTCGTTTAAACTCGGCTGTTCATTATCGTTATTATAAATGTGAAAATCATCAACAATTGTATTTTTTCCACCTTCACAACAATTGTTCAATGTATTCGTTTGAGCACTTGTTGTCGTTGCTATAATTGCTGCTGTCGTTTTATCATTTTGTTTACTCTGCTGTTGCTGTTGTGGCTGCTGCTGGCCCAAGCCGGAGATCGTCGTTTTGCTTACGTCGTTTATCATTTTACCGATTAGATTACATGTTTCGTTTGACGCCTTTATTGAAGTGTTACTATCGTTGTTGCTGTTGTTTATAATTGGTTTCACCATTAAATTTTTATTATTATATAGTTTTCGTTGTTGTTGCCTCAAGGTTATGGTCTGTTCTTTTGCTGGTTTTTTCACTAGTGTCCGTTTTTTCTGGGTATCTTTTGTTATATTAGTTAATTTATTATTTATCTGTTCATTGGGGTTATCTTGATCTTTGGGACTCATCATAATAAAAGTATTTAGAAAATTTTATCTAGTTTGGTTTTTGTAGGTCATCTAGAATGAGATATTGGTGAGGGGTAAAAGATTATTTCGTGTGTTGAAAAGTAAAATTGGATTATATACACTTATTGTGGATACTCTGAACGAAAGACGTTATTCGGATCTTTATTGGATACTGAGATCATCATACGAAGGATACATTGATCATCGGAGGATACTCCGATCATCAAAGGATACTTCGGGCATACCAGGATACTCGGATCATAAGAGGATATTCTCGACCACAGGCATTATACCGATTATCAATGAAAACTCTGATTATCAAAATATACCTCGACCATCAGAGGATATTCCGATCATCAATGGATACTCTAATCATCAGAGGATACACTTACCATCGGAGGAAACTCTTCTGATCGACAGTCTTTATCCCGAACATCAATGAAACATCGGAAGATAATCTAATTGACATAGGATACCTTGATCATCAGAGGATACTCTTTGGGCATACCAGGATACTCGGATCATCAGAGGATATTCGCGACCACAGGCGTTATACCAATCATCAATGGAAACTCTGATTATCAAAGTATACATAGATCATCGGAGGATACTCTAATCATCAGAGGATATTTCGATCATCAATGGATACTCTAATCATCAGATGATACTCTGATTATCGGAGGAAAATCTGATCATCGGAGGATATTCTGGCCGACAATCTTTATTGCGAACATCAATAAAACATTAGAATATACTCTGATTGACATAGGATACCTTGATCATCAGAGGATACTGTTTGGGCAGGATACTCGGATCATCAGAGGATATTCGCGACCACAGGCGTTATACCAATCATCAATGGAAACTCTGATTATCAAAGTATACATAGATCATCGGAGGATACTCTAATCATCAGAGGATATTTCGATCATCAATGGATACTCTAATCATCAGATGATACTCTGATTATCGGAGGAAAATCTGATCATCGGAGGATATTCTGGCCGACAGTCTTTATTGCGAACATCAATGAAACATCAGAATATACTCTGATTGACAAAGGATATCTTGATCATCAGAGGATACTCTTTGGGCATACCAGGATACTCGGATCATCAGAGGATATTCTCGACCACAGGCGTTATACCGATCATCAATGGAAACTCTGATTATCAAAGTATACATAGATCATCGGAGGATACTCTAATCATCAGAGGATATTCCGATCATCAATGGATACTCTAATCATCGGAGGAAAATCTGATCATCGGAGGATATTCTGGCCGACAGTCTTTATTGCGAACATCAATGAAACATCAGAATATACTCTGATTGACATAGGATACCTTGATCATCAGAGGATACTGTTTGGGCATACCAGGATACTCGGATCATCAGAGGATATTCGCGACCACAGGCGTTATACCAATCATCAATGGAAACTCTGATTATCAAAGTATACTTAGATCATCGTAGGATACTCTAATCATCAGAGGATATTTCGATCATCAATGGATACTCTAATCATCAGAGGATACACTTATCGTCGGAGGAAACTCTGATCATTGGAGGATATTCTGATCGACAGTCTTTATTCCGAACATCAATGAAACATCAGAAGATACTCTGATTGACAAAGGATATCTTGATAATCGGAGGATACTCTGATCATCAAATGTTACTTTAATCATCAGAACAAAATCTAAATCTCAAAGGATATACCTGGATTATCGGATGATACTCTGATCATTAATAGATATTACGGTCATCAATGGATACTCTAATCATCAGAGTATACTCTGATCATAAGAGGACAATCGGTTCATCAGAGGAGATTCCGATCGAAAGAAGATAGTCCGATCATCAATGGATACTGAGATCATCAGAAGATACTCATATTACCCTGATCGTCGGAGCATACTCTGATCATCAGAGGACACTCTAATCATCAGAATATACTCTGATCACCAGATGATATTCCGATCATCAATGGATACTCTAATCATCAGAGAAATACTCTGATCATGAGAGGATACACGGATCATCAGAAGATTGTCATATGTTATTCCGATCTTCAATGTATACTCTGATTAAAAGAGGATTCATTGATCATATTCCGAGCATGGAAGATATTCTGACTATCGGAAGATAAATAGGGTGTCGGAGGATACTCTGTGAATACGAGAATACTCCAAGTATCGGAGGATACTACGAGTATCTGCGTACACTGCGATTATTGGGAGATACTTCAAGAGTCGGAGAATACTCCGAGAAATAGAAGATATTCCAAGCATTAGATGATACTCCGAATATCGAAAGATAATTTGAGTGCCGAATAATTCTCCAATTATTGAAAGATACTTTGAGTGTCGGGGAAAACTCTGAAAATTTGCAGATATTTCGAGTAAGGATGAAATTCCAAGTATCAGAAGATTAGTTGAGTGTCGGAGCATACACCAAGAATCGGAGAATACTTCGAGTTTCACAGAATGCTTCGAGTATTGGAGTATACTTCGAGTTTCAGAAAATACTCCGAATATCGATGGATACTCCAAATATCGATGGATACTCCGAATATCAATGGATACTCCGAATATCGATGGATATTAATCAAGTTTAAAGAATATCCGGAGTATTGGAAACTCCGCAAATCAGAAAACTCTCAGAGTACAAGGCAATACTCCTAGCAAACTGCGAGTGTATCAGAAGATACTCCAAATATCCTAGAATACTCTGAATATCACAGGATACCCAGAATATCAAAAGATTTTCCTATTTTAAGATGATACTTCGAGTATCGAAGGATACTCCTAGTTATGAAGAAGTATCTAAAATAACTCTAAGTATCGGGGATTATTACGAGAATCGGAGAATACTCAAAGTCTTGAAGATTCTAAGAGCAAGATATGATAAAAGGGAAACTGCGAGTAACAAATGATACCCTTAAGTATTAGATGAACCTCCTATAGGAACAGAGAAGAAACCTACGAAATAACTTTTTCCCCTAACCAATATACACATTTGCTTTAAACTAAGTAGACATATCATGATATACTATTTATTGTTTTTATACGCTGCACACATTCTATTTTTTCCAATAATAATGAGTTTCAACAATTCTCGTTTTACTCTACCGTTTAATTTAATTTATATTTTTTTTTTTTTGTTATTTTATTAGTCATTTAAAAGACATGACGTCAAATGTATAGCTTAATTTGATACACACTGAGAGTATCACTGATCTGTTCGCTAAGAAAAATATTGCATCAGAGGCTTTTCACATAGTCTCTCATACACACACACGCACTCACACAATCCATACGTAAGTAGTCGTCTGTCAGTCACCCAGTCGTCACGCTTCTTTAGTAATAATATATGATATTTACGTTAAATTTAAACATTTTCAAACGATTTAGTTCAATTCATATTAATTCTAGCGGCATTTTTAGTTTCATCAAAAATCTCTGCTCTACGGCTGCTATGACGTACTATGATAATAATAATTTTTTTTTTCGCAAGTAGTTTTTAATATTTTATTTTAGTCATGGGTGTATTTTAAATTGCTTTTACGTAAATTTCTCATTTATTGTAGACAGACACGGTTTCACTGACATCCATTTTTGGACTTTTGAACTCATTCAGCAACATGTTTTATAATTTGTTAATGTTTAAAAGAAATCATTCATTTATTATTCGCCTAAAAGACCGACTGACAAATTTTACTTTGTTCTTTCTTTTTGCGTAAATTGCATTTGTGTTATTACGTAGTTTTAAACAAATTATCTGAAATGATAAGAGAAAAAGTAATAAAAATAAATTAAATAAATTTAATTACAGCAAGGTTGCCAATCATAATAATTAGCAAAATAAAATACAATTTAAAAAACAAAATATTTGAAATTTTTGTTATGTTGATAATGCTTAGTTATTTCAAGTGTTAGTGGTTAAATTCTAATAAAGATTATCTTTGAAAAGTAGGGCCTATTCAGACAAGGGGAGAGTGGTTCTCAGCGTTAACCGCAAACATGAGTAATTTATAATTTGATTATGATAGCACCAATAACGTCAATAGTTTTGAGTTTAAAACTTTAGATTATTTTTATACTCTTCGTAATGACAGGAAATGAGTTTTAATAAATCAATTAGTTCAGTTCCAGTTCAGTTCTAGTTCAGTTCTAGTTCAGTTCTAGTTCAGTTCTAGTTCAGTTCTAGTTCAATTCTAGTTCAGTTCTAGTTCAGTTCTAGTTCAGTTCTAGTTCAGTTCTAGTTCAGTTCTAGTTCAGTTCTAGTTCAGTTCTAGTTCAGTTCTAGTTCAGTTCTAGTTCAGTTCTAGTTCTAGTTCAATTCTAGTTCAGTTCTAGTTCAGTTCTAGTTCAGTTCTAGTTCAGTTCTAGTTCAGTTCTAGTTCAGTTCCAGTTCAGTTCTAGTTCAGTTCTAGTTCAGTTCTAGTTCAGTTCTAGTTCAGTTCTAGTTCAGTTCTAGTTCAGTTCTAGTTCAGTTCTAGTTCAGTTCTAGTTCTGTTCTAGTTCAGTTCTAGTTCAGTTCTAGTTCAGTTCAGTTCTAGTTCTGTTCTAGTTCAGTTCTAGTTCAGTTCTAGTTCAGTTCTAGTTCAGTTCTAGTTCAGTTCTAGTTCAGTTCTAGTTCAGTTCTAGTTCTGTTCTAGTTCTGTTCTAGTTCTGTTCTAGTTCTGTTCTAGTTCTGTTCTAGTTCTGTTCCAGTTCTGTTCTAGTTCTGTTCTAGTTCTGTTCTAGTTCTGTTCTAGTTCTGTTCTAGTTCTGTTCTAGTTCTGTTCTAGTTCTGTTCTAGTTCTGTTCTAGTTCTGTTCTAGTTCTGTTCTAGTTCTGTTCTAGCTCTGTTCTAGTTCTGTTCCAGTTCTGTTCTAGTTCTGTTCTAGTTCTGTTCTAGTTCTGTTCTAGTTCTGTTCTAGTTCTGTTCTAGTTCTGTTCTAGTTCTGTTCTAGTTCTGTTCTAGTTCTGTTCTAGTTCTGTTCTAGTTATGTTCTAGTTTTGTTCTAGTTCTGTTCTAGTTCTGTTCTAGTTCCGTTCTAGTTC